GATCCAGAATGGCTGAGATAAGTCTACCACTCCCCGGCACCACTATCTAGTTAGAGGCAGGCACATGACTGACTCACTCGAGGCCCTGGGCTTGATGGTTAGATAATCCACATGAGAAGGACGCCACATGGAACACTCACACAGTGGCATCCTTGAAACCTCTGCATCCAGCTATATTTGGCAGCCACAAGAAGACATCCCAGTAAGTGAAATGGCAGAGTGTCTTGTGGGTCAGTCAAGTTGGAGTTGGATTTTTGTAGCCCGAGAACAAAGAAGTACCAATGAATACATTCATGATTAAAAAATGGAATGAATATCTAAATTTACAAAAGTATATTATAATGAAAGATATGTCTCTATTAATCTCTACATAGAATCCTGTCCCTCACTTCGAACACACTTATCCCATTATACTGGCCACTCTCTGAAGGTCTTCTGGAAGTTCTCTGTCATGAGTGTCTGTACTTTCCTTCTATGGCTGACTTGATGTCCTGAATCAATTTGAAACCTTTGCTTTCCATGATCGTTTTGACTTTGGGGAAGAGCCAGATGTTGCTTGGCACCAGATCCTCTGCAAAAGCTGGATGAGGACACACTGTGATGCTTTGCAGTCCTGCCTTTCCACTGAAGGACATTTGGCAGCAGCATTCACCACAGTGTTGGTCACACCTTGCAAAGACTTTTGGGAAAGAAGACTGCCTGAACTGCTTCAGAAGGCGACAAAGATGAAAAGTAAGTGTCTTTGAGTCTTTTGAGAGGGACTAACTACAATGAGCCATTGTATCACATTTTAAAATGTAAATATTCATTGTATATCTAGAGCTCATCTAGTGTGTATTTCATTTGAAGAACTGAAACAATCATGATATTAGCCAATGTGTCTCAACCTCCTTTTTTCTTAAGATTTGGGGCTGTAACATATGCTTATGCAAATGCTTACAATTGAAGTGACATATCTGAGTGTAAGATACACTGAACCTAGACACTCATGTCAAACAATTTTTTATTTTTTATGATACAAATTAAAAGTGACAGATCTGAAGCTGTTAAGAAATACACAAAGTGCAGCTTTACCAACCATACAGATATTGCTCTAGATTAAGTACAGTTTTTTTTTTTTAAACATTAAGCAACCTGTGCAGATAAATCAGCTTTGGTTTCAATGTCAGAGCAAGTAAGGAGCTTTGAAATATCCAGTTTGGCTTCTTGGTCACAAGTCTATCATGTCAACTTCTCGTCATGATGGTTTTTCCAGAACAACCCAGTCTGTTTCCCTGCCTTCCCTCCTGCTGCCCTTTCCAGGCATGGAGAAGCAGAGGTCTTGTGGTGCCTAAGTGACCCTGGTGACCAGTCTAGATCACAACACATAGGGCAAAAAAACAAACGAATAAACAAACAACGAAAAAGAAAAAGTAAAAGAAAATAAATTCACTTCTTCAACAAATAACGTAATGTGCCTCACATAATTTCAAGTTGAAGACAACAAATCACACGACAAAAAGCTCATTACAAATTGTTTTCCAAACAGATCTTGCAGTTGAACATGGAAATGAAAATCAGTTTCTTTTTTTCTCCATTTTGTTTAAGCCTGGTCATTGACTGGGTACAAGTAGAGTGCTGAGGTAAAACACTGATGAACAGTTTGTATTCCTTTCTGTTTCTTCTTAAAATAGGAACAGTTTACTATTGCGAGATTGTCAGCAACATTTAGCCGTATCTACACACTGTGCATATACCTACATATAATACTGAGCTTTGGTCCAGCATAGAGAAGATGAACAAAGGCAATTGATGATTTCTTTTTGGTTATAGCTTGAGTTCTTTGACGCGCCTCTACTTGTTCTGTTTTTCCTAGCTCCTTTTGCTTTTGTGTTTTCTTTCATGTTGTGTTGTGTGTCTGTGTGTGTCTGTGAGTTTGTGTGATTACAACACAAAAAACCCAAACCCTGAAAATGCTTATGAAGTTTTAACTGTTCAAGATAGTTCTTTTGGTTGAAGAGAAAAAAGTCCCTCAAACAAGTGTAGAATACAATATCCACTGGCATTTTCCATCAAATAACAAATAAAACAAAAATGACAATAACTTAAAAAATCATAAGAAAAATACTGAAGCTTGAAGTACAATCAGACATGCCCAAAGTGGCTTTTATTCATTTTTGTTGTTGTTGTTGGTGGTGGTGGCAACTTTAATCTTCAGTTCATGGAAACATAAAAGATACTTAAATGTTATTGGCATATGAAGTTGTTTACAAGTGGAAATAAGACATGTCATAATAAAATTAAGCAATAGGTGTGGTCCCGAAGACTGATGTATTACACAATATAATTTATATTTCTAAGAATCTGTTCAGGCACCTTTTTTATGCCTTGTAGCAAAAAATTTTTTCCGTAAAAAAATCAATATAAGAAGCATTACAACACTTTATAAATAATTTAAAAAACAATACAAAATTATAAAACTTTAAAAAAAATCACTGCACATGAATGGTTTTATGACTGTGGGATGAATATATTTCCTTTTTGTTCTACTCTGGACAATCGCTTTTCTGTTTTTGCTGTCCTAGTTATACCCTCCCAATTATAGATCTCAGGGCTGTGCAGGCCTTATGTAACAGCTGCCGGCATATATTTAAACATTTAACATCTGTCATATGTTATCTTGTTAACTTCTCTTCCTGGGAGCTTTTCTTGATGGAATTTGGAACAGGTCCTAGGAGAATACAAAAATCTGTTTTTAATCAATAAAGTTGTAGGTTTCTGGGTTGTTGGTATTTGTGCAGTTTTTGAGGAGGTGAAGTGGGTATCATGGGTGTAGTTGGCATGGATTGGAATGATTGTGGTCCAGTTAGCATCAGACCAGGCAAGATGGAAATAATTTTACAAGCAACTGCTTCCACGATTTTTAAGAGAATTTCCTTGGTGGTTGTTTCCTGACTGTTGCATGGATCATCGTAGGGGCAGTTAAAATGTCCCAGGAATGCAACCTATAAAGGGGCCACAGGAAGAAGAAACTAGAAGCCCTGAGGGGGAGGATGGGAGTAGGGGGAAGGAGATGGAACTTCTAATAAATTTGGTATCTTGAGGTGGGTTTTCTTTTTCCATTTCACAATTTATCTCTAGATAGTACATGAGCTTGATTATAAATTAATTACTCATAAATATTTACAATTCAACAGCAAGCAAATCTACAGTTCTTTTCTGCCTGCTTCTTTGGTGGAATGCTTGTTGCCCCACCCAAGTGAAAACATCAGGTGCCCATCGCAGCTGTTGCCCTGAACAGCTCTCTTTACATCCCTGCACCATCTTTGGGCTTCTTAGGCTAGTGTGGACCACAGATCTTCTAAGGAAGTTATTTTTTTTTTTTCGTAAATGAATAAATCCCCTAGTTCTTTGAGTGAAGGCTATTCTGATGTGGTACATGAGCTACTTCTATATATTTTTATTTTAGTGATCCTTCACTGTTAAAATTTATTTGGCCTCAAGAACCCAATTCCAGGTCCAAATTCCAACTGCTTAAATTTGCCTGTCACTTTTCTGCTTCCTGTATATATCCCAAGAATATATCTCCTCAAAGTCTGCCATTGCTGTTGGGTGAAAGAAGTAGCAGAAAAGAAGAGGTTAACAGGACATCTGATGGGCGTTAAAGATCTGATTACTACTACTTTCTTGTGGCCTGTTTCTTTGTGCCGGTGGATATGGGTGTATGCATGCCTGTGTGTATTTTGACTGAAACCTGGAGATATTTCTTTGGCTATCAGACTTTTGAGAGAAATTGCTTTGCACAGAAGCATAACAAAGATGTAAGTATTGAACCAAATGTGCAGCTTATGTTTATATTACAAAATTCATTTTGGTCAGCTCTTCATGGATGTGGCCAGCGGACTGAGCAAAATCCCAAGCTCTGGTGTGGACAGGGAGTGTGATTAGAGCTTAAGGCGGCATTGACAGTTCACTCAGCAAAGCCCTAGTCACTGTGGAGTCTCTCCTGCAGTTCAGTAGTGGAAAAGCCACTGCGTCCCAGCGACCCCCTATGCCACGGAGAAATGGGGGGTGGACGGGAAAGGTGAGCTCCATTTTCTGTTCTCAAACCCACAAGTCTTAGTGAGAAGAAAGCAACCAGTGTTTTGGCACAGGATCCAAGGATGCCCCCCACCTTTAAGCAAACCGAAACAATTGAAAAAAAAAAAAAATCCAAAAAACAGAACCGAAAGTGAGCCTCTTGGAATGGCTTCAACGGTACCCACCCCGTTGGTGGAGACAGTAGATAGGAAAGATGGCAGAAATCAGGCTTCCTATTTTTTCCACCAGTACAAATGTAAAAATTCGCAACACAACTTTACACGCAGAGAGGAAAGAGTAGACGAACGATTGCGTTTGCAATGCCATATTTCTGACTTTGGTTAATAGGTTTCATAGTGAATCAGCACTTAGAACCTGGCAGGATAAGGTCCCTCCTGCAGGTGGCAGGCTTGTATTCGCTTTGAACAGATACAAGTTTTTGTTGGGTTCTTTTCTTTTTCTTTCTTTTTTTTTTTTCTTTCTTTCTTTCTTTCTTTCTTTCTTTCTTTCTTTCTTTCTTTCTTTCTTTCTTCCTTCTTTTTTTGGTTTAGTTTAGAATTTTTTTCTTTTTCCTTAAAACGTGTTCACATTTTCATAATATACAGAAAAAAGTATGTGGTTATTTGGTTTTCTTTTAAAAAACTGGCTTTGGGGAGACAGGTGGGGGAGGGAACTATCCTACCACACACACCTTCTGTGGGGTGTATCCTTGTTTAAAAAGTTCCCAAAAAATTTCTTGTATTTTTGTTTTTTTCTTGTTGGAAAACCAACGGACATGTAGAAACTATTCTGTCCATTTGGAGGTTTGCTTAGTCTTTTACATACAAGGGATGTTTTAAAATTTTTTTTCTCTTTCTTTCTTTCTTTCTGTTGGGGTGGAGTCCCCAAGGGGTGGAATTTAGTTTCTGTGGATTTCACTTCTGTTGTGCATGGGCTTCTCTTTAGGAGTTTTCTTCCAGAGAGTCTGTTAAGGGCTCTAGTGGGACTGTGGTGGCCGGCTCGTGCTGTTTTAAGCGTTTGATTGTATTCTTCAGGGCTTGCCTCTTATTGCAGAACCAGACTCTAACTACTTCCCGGTCATAGTTCAGCTTCTCAGCAATCTCGGTCATTTCCTGCCCCGAGGGGTGTGTGTTCTTCTCAAAGTGGGCATTGAGGATCTCAAGGGCCTGGGGTGTGAAGGAGGTGCGCCGCTTGCGCTTTTTGGATGGTTCACTCCCAATAAACTCGGTGAGGTTCTGCATCCCGGCTCGATGGCGGGCTTCAGCCTCAGCCATCCACCGCTCAAGCACCGGCTTGATCTTCTGGGCACTTTTAGGGGTGATGTCCAGCTTTTCAAACCTGGCAGGATACAAAAGGCCAGGGTTCAGTTTGGCTGTGAGACTGCTAGCTATAGTGTTCTCTTGGGCTTCCTGTGGTAGGAAAAAGTGGCTTCTCAGGATGGTGTGTCTGGGGGGAGAATTGAGAAAGAACAGTCTTACACTGGGTCCTCTGCCAGGGTGGGCCTCCTGCCTGCCTGCCTCCTAGACTGCCTGGCAGGGCGAAGTCACTCCACAGGAGCAGCCAGCTGTGTGGAGCCAGCTCTGCCCAAGCCAGAGCCCACCCTTCCCGCGTGCGCCATGCTGGCTCATGCAAAGCACATAGAGACACACACAGATGGGGGAACACAAGGAGAGGTGAGACGGAGGACACATGCACTGTCACCACGATGAGGACACAGACAATTTACAGCTCTTTCCCCTCTAAACTCTCAGATCCATTCTTTTGTTTCAATTACACCAGCTCTGTTTCCCCAATCCTCAGAATCCTTGAGTCAAAAATTAATTCTAGGACCAGGGAGCTTAGCTCAGTGGAATAAGTACTTGTTTGGCAAGCACAAGGTCCTGAGTTCAATCCCTGGTACCACCAAAAAAAAAAAAAAAAATGTGGTGGCACACACATGTCATCCCAACATCCTGGGAAACTGAGGCAGAAGGGTCACAAGTTAGAGCCCAGCCTGGACAACTTAATGAGACCAAAAAATAAAAATAATAACAAAGGACTGGGGATGTAGTTCAATGCCAAGGTCTTGAGTTTAATCTCCAATGTTGCCAAAAATCTCAAACCAAACCAAGCAAACAACCCTAGGAAGTAACGTCAAAAACAATAAAATGATTACATTTTACATTTTGTTTTCTTTAACTTCCTCCCTAACATCTCGGCTATGAAAGTATTACAGTTATTACAGTCACTTATGACAACTGTGACAAGTTCCTGCTTATAGTTCTCTTTTTCTCTCTCTTTTGTGTCTCATTTGAACTTCTCCCTCCCCCTCTCCCTCTCTCTCGGTAACAATTTTCACCATATGTAAGTTAACAACATGCTCCCTTTCCAGATAAAACATAGCCCAGTTGCTGCTTTACAGTTGTGTCTCAAACAGCTGGGCACATGTAATTACTCTGGAATACCCCACCCCGGGGTGAGTGAAGGCTGCCCTATGCTCCCGGTTGCCATCCAGCCAAATGGTTTGCTTTTCTACCAGGACATCAAGCTGTGTTTAATGTGTGAGATCTGCAAACTGTACTTGAGTGATATCATTTTCTGTAAATGAGGTCTTCTATATATCAATTGTCATTGGCAATTCTTTGCTATGTTGACTTTAAAAATATGAAACACTCTGGACAAATTATATATAGTGCTTTAAGAGGTTATTCTGGTACCAAATTCATACTCACTCTCAATGAAATACAAAAAAGGCACCAGTTTCTTTTATTCATTTGTGTGTTTATTCTAAATTCAAATCCATAACCTTCCCATATTGGCAGTTTTGGATACACGGAATTCCCTTCTCTTCTCTGAAGTGCTCCACACAAGTGGAGAACCAACTGCCTGACTGCGGTATGCATTTTATTATAATTGTTCTCATAATGTACCGGTGTTTGCCACAATATGTTTTGTGCAGATTTTTACAAAAGGTCAGTAAAAGATATACTCTTTTTAGGTACTATAATTTGATTTTTTTGCAGTGCATTTTAGACCTCCTATGTTGTGATAAGTAGCACAAATAGTGTCAAATCTTAATGTGATACCATCATATTTTCTTCTAGGATAGGGCTCAAGGGGGTTCTTTGTTTATTTCTGAATACACTCAACTTTCAATACTGGTTATGAGAAAGAAAAAGTATATTTGCTTTCAGTACAAGTGAACAAATCATTTAATGACAAGTTACAGGGGCCGGGGAGATGGGCTCATTGGAATAAGTGCTTCCCTGGCAAGTGCAAGGGTCTGAGTTCAATCCCTGGTTCCACCAGAAAAACAAAAACAAAAACAAAAACAAAAACAAAAACAAAAACAAACCTTAATGACAAGCTACATTAAATCTCCCTGTTGTTGTCACCACTGGCCAGTTACCACATTTTGCCACAATGTATTATGGCAGCTTCTCCCTGATACCAACCACGGCACCAAGGGGCAGAGCTTGTGGCAGGGGTGTCCAACATACTAGTGCCACCTTTCTTTTTCTGCCTCTGATAAAAAGGGACTAACGGCAGCTAGAAGTCACTGCAGCTGATCTAGGAGAAATGATGACCAGGCTCAGGTGTTCTGACGTACACCTTCCCACCCTTGGAATGTGCTGCCAGGGCTCCAATTTGATTTCTTCCAAGACTTCTTTTTAGTTATCTATGCCAGTTATTTCTCTTGCTGGCTCCTAAAATGACCTCCCTGAAACACTGCAAGCTGGAGAAAAGCCCTGAAATGCAAGCATCTGACTTGTAGGATACAAAGAATTTCCAACCTGTCTGCATTCTGTAGCCTTTTAAAGCTTCCCTCTGGGGGAAGACTTTAGAAATCAACATATTTGATTGGGGTTGCCCAAGCAATGCTAGGTATGAGAGTTAAAACATTAGCTGGCACTTCAGTCAATAAGAGGAAATCACATTTTAGGGCTAAAAATAGGCCAAAGAGGAATTTAACAACAGTAGCAAATTGGCAACAACTTAAATTCCTGTGCCTGCCTTTATCACAAGCCTGTCAAGATGAAACAAAATTAATGCTTCCCAATGGGGAGCAACTTATTCATATCATTGATGCTGCTTGTTAGTGCCTATGCTTCCATCTGTGTTGTTTGGAATAACATATACAAGCCTTGAAACAAATTTCTCAGCAGCAGTATCCTTGTATAGACTGAATAAAGGTTATTTTCTACAGGGAGGTATCTTATAAGAAAAAACAGTAGGGGAGGCCATAGAAGTGAGAGGATCCTATGGTGCTTTTTGTATTTAACAACAATCAATGGGTTTTATGGAAAATCATTGAGCAAAATGTGAGCTGCAAGCTACTACCCCATACTGATGTTATTTATAACCTTAGTCTTAAACTGCAGGAAAAGTACACTTCTGTCCTTTGGGGAATACATTAAAAGTATAAAGAGCAGATAAAAAGACAGCATTTCATGGATCACCAAGAACAAAATCCACTTAAATGAGTTTAGAGTTGGTTTCTTGGCTTTTCCTGATGGAGGAGGACTCATAAGGCATTGCCCAAGAGGAAAAAGCTCTTACCAAAGTACCTCTGTGACCTCATGCATAAACATGGGATTAGTACAACACACATGCATGCACGGGGTCTGCTTCTGACGAATTAACCCAGATCAACTTCCACACAACCAAGGCTGGATTTGGTCACTTATTTATTTAATTTGGTGCTGGGGTGGGGGTGCACACCCCCAGGCCAGATTCTCACTACTCTTTTTGAGCCATTTAAAACAGCTGTTTCTTTCTTTAATGCACCCTTTGGAAGCTGTTTCTCGGAAGACATTTAAAACTTCCTTTAAGGTTACAGATGGTTATTTTTGTTTTTTAAATGGGTATTTTCTTGGAAAATCCCGATGTCCAACCCTATGGCTAGACACTAGTAGGAGCGTTAACACAAATGGAGGCTGTCAGCAGTACAATGTGTGCTTGGGACACAGACGCGCTGACCGGATGGGTGGTTCAGGAGGAAGGCTCCTGGCCCAGGGTAGTGTGACTCCAGTGACACCGCCTTGGCAGTCCTTGATGAGTTGACAGGAGTTACCGGGCCAAGACCCCTCAAGTCTGCTCCAGTACCCTCATTTCCACCCAGATCACCCATGGCGGCATGCATCCACCCCAAACTCGCTCCCACACTCTAACCCTCCACGTCTGCCCACCCGAAGAAGGAAAGCTGAGCCGCGCAGACAGACGAGGCCCAGGCCAGCAGCATGCGGCGTGGGTTACCTGCAGATGGCCGACTGGCTGTACGCGGGGCCCTCTGTGGCACTGAGAGCTTGTCCCACCTGAGTTTGGGTCAGGCCAAGGGACAGGCGCCGGATTTTAAAAGCTTTGGCAAATTCTCGGATCTCCTCCAGATTAACCCCATCCACCTCACCCGCTGCCGTTTGAGGATCTGTGGAGATGTTTTCAAAAACAGGGTCAATGGTTCAACCTGCAACTAAGTCCTCTCTGTTTATTATGGCATGTAAGGAAATGGTTCTCGCTAACAGCAGAGGGATAGGCAAACCCACACCACGGAACTTTCTCTTTGTCTCCAACTCAGCTCCTGCCTCAGTGCAGTTCACCTCTACAATCATCCTTCGAGATGTTTCTGTGGCGTATGAGGCCACATCCCACCTTTTCTGACAGTTCTGAAATGTAAGGCCATCCTTTTTAGTATTTAGCAAATACAGTCAGCAAGGGGAGACCTACCCAAATATGTTCAAATATTGTGCAAAAGCATACAACCTTTAAATATCTCCTGTGCTAATAATCGCCCTTGAAGAAAACAGCAGCTTGTATTTTTCTTTCTTCTGATCACCATGCAGCCAGGCTAACAGATGAGAATGTTGCCTAATTTCTTACGTTCATATTAGTGTCTCCAAAGAGCATGCTTAGGAAACCACGAGGATATTATCTTTGCCTCTTCTCCCCATAGCAGTTTACTGACACAGCTGCCTTTGTCCCCTGAAAGGGCATATAATAAAAAAAATGCCTACCACAGAAAGACTCCTTTGGTGGTGGATAATGCGGTCAATTTAGGACTTATCAAGGGAAATGACACAACAGCTGGAGAATGAAACTTTTCCCCCCCTGGCTACTGATCCCTGGATAAATGAAAGCGAGCACCAAGCTGGAGACAGCATGGGTTGGGGCTAGTGGCAGATTTCAAAGTGCTGCTCAATCCTGCCTGTAGTGCAGCCACTCTCCCTGTGAGCTGTCTCTATTGTTCTTCCCCTCATTCCTCGGACTTAGGTGAAAAGTTGTTCGCCTTCTCTTTCTGCACAACAACCCATCAATTTCAGTGGATTCTAGTTCATGTCTGAGGACTGTGGTGAAGCACATTACCCTTTGAGTTCAGGACTATACACACAATGCTGGTTGTTAGGAAAGAAACAGAAATTTGCATCCCAAGTGATGAATTTTTTAAAGGGCCATTCATATAAGAGTGTTAATATCATAGGAGAGCTGGAGCTTCAGTATAGATTCTCACAGTACTGGGAAGGAACGCTGGAGCCTATGGGAAACAGATTCTATAATTTAAGCTGTGTGTGTGTGTGTGTGTGTGTGTGTGTGTGTTACTGCTGGGGATTGAACCCAGGGACCTCAAACTAAGCTACAGCTACAACCCCTTTTCATTTTGAGGTAGGACCTCATTAAGTTGATCAGTTGCCCAGGATGAGCTTGAATTTGTAATCTTCCTACCCCATTTTCCCAGAGTGTACCACCATACCTGGCTCCTATCTTTACCTTTACATAAAAAAGTGGTCCTGTCCAGGAGTGGCCTTGAGTTTGAGGCAGGAAGATAGCTTGAGTCCAGGAATTTAAGCCCAGCCTGCATAACATGATGAGACTCCATCTCTTAAAAGAAGTCCTCTAAAATTTTCATGTCATTAGTCAGAATTTCATTATGAAAAACTGAATAGTGGTAGGATCCTTGCAGTCAGTCTGTAAATATTTCTTTTAAAGTGACTTTTGGAGGTTCTGAGTGGAGGGAGGAGGAAGAGATATATAAAACACATTTCTGACATCTGAGGAGGTCACGGTCTATTGGAGACAGGGCTCCAATACTGATATATAAGAAACAATTACAGGAAAGTACCAGGCAGAGGATAATCGAGAACTTATGGTATGATATCCACTCTTGGTGTATAAAGAAGGGAGAAGGGACAGAAGTGTGGAGTCACCCAGGCCTCTCCAGGCCTTGCATGGAGCAGGGGGAGCACCCATGTGGCTGGCACAGATGTAGGGAAGAGCAGAGCCCTGGGAGCTGACAGGGCCAGTGAGACGAGGACTTCACAGGGTCCATGCAAGTTGTAGGTGGCACATTGAGGGTCTGTGTGCCTCTAAAACGGAATTAAAATCCTGCATCTTCTCTTAAAGTTCCCCCAAAAAGTCTGGTTGGTGTGTCAGAGACCTGTGTAGGTCATCACTGCTTGACAGGATCTTCTCTTCCATAGCCTGTAGTGAGGTCTGCCTTCTGGCATTTACCCAAATGTATACAATAGCCTCAAATTCCTTCTCTTTGTTTCTTCCTTAGAAAAGTCCCTAAAGTAGGCATTGTATGTGAAAAGCTTAGGGGAAAATCCACTTTTACTTGCAAATTTTTTACTTGCAAATTTTACAAATTACTTGGCAACATTGATTTCTAATGAAAAGTCTCGATCTTCCATGTTCTTTTGGCCACACTGATCCACCTGTTAATGCTTTGTCCATTGGAACTGATTTTGGCTGCTTTCTGAGGACCTCCTGGCCCTTATCTTCACACTCCTGAGATCAGTTACCTCCTCAGAAGGTGCTGCTACTGTGTCTGGACCATGCATTCCCAGTGGTTGGTGCAGGGAAAGTAGGAAAAGTCTTAGGACAGTGGATGTGGTTTCCCAAAGGGCCACAGCCGTGAAATACTTAAAGCGCAATTCATCTTTGCTGTTTAAATTACCTGAGGGAAAGGAAGGTTAGTAGGATAAAAACAGTTTTAAAAGCTTTGTTGCAAGGGGAGTGGGACATAGTAAAACAATAGTTGAAGAACTCTGATTTACAACAGTGGACAGTTGGTACCCAGTGGTCCAATGGAAGAAAAGAAGGGCCTAGCCCTTCCCAAAGGAGGGAAGAGGGACTTGGTACCCTGTAAGGGAAGATCATGAAGGCTTACAATTGGAACAGCTTTAAGTCAAGGACTTTCCTTGCAGTACATTGGCTTTTAGGATTGTGGTTTTAACTCAGCAGATTTAAGCACCTGGTGGTGGACAAGGGACTGGTAACTTGATTGGAAGGATTACTGGAGTCTACTCCAAGCTCAGACTGAGCAGTGCTATGCTGGGGAGATTTGGGACTTGGGTAACAATTTTTTCTGAATACTCGCTTTTTTTTGTTTTTTGTTTTTTTTAACAGAGGTCCTTTGCACTGAGCCACACCCCCATTTTGTTATGAAAAAGAATCTTGTCTAAGTCACTAAGTTGTCCAGACTGGGCTCAAGCTTGTTTGAGCCTCCCTGGTTTCTGGGATTACAGGATGTGCTACCACATCCATCTTGGATAAGGATTTCATATAAATGTGTCCCACCATCTTTCTTCTCTTTCCCTACTATCTTTAGTGCTCATGTCTCCTTGCTGGTTCCTTGAGCCAAGGGCCTAAATCTGTGTGTGTCACTGAACAGGTTGCTTGTTTGGTAGATTGCTGACAGTAGCCAGAGTTCAAGAGAAAGCTGCAGACTCTGTGCTCAGTGTGTGTGTGTGTGTGTGTGTGTGTGTGTGTGTGTGTGTGTATGTGTGGATGATCAAATAAACACTCGCTGTACAGCTCAGAGAATTGGATTCCTGGGCCATGAGCCAGTGTCTTCCACAAGGCCAGTGAACATTCATTACAGCAGGAAGTTGAACGCCTTCCTTCCTATCACCCATTTCCTATTTTTGCCTTTTCTCTTGGTTCTGCGTAGAGGTGATTAAGATGGGCACTGTTGTGAAATCTACAGAGTGACAGTTTACTGCGTAAAGTTCCAGGAAAGAAATTCAACATCTCTCTGGACAATTTATTGATTGCTCAAAGCAAGCTGTTTAGCTTTACATCAGCATTTTTAGTCCAAAAAATTCAGATGAAAGATTGTATTATGTGGATTTTCCCATGCGTTTCAAGACTACAAAGTTTTCCTAATCTAAAGAAGGGGTTTACCCATGGACAAAATCTAATCTTATCTTGATTATAACAGGTGGCACTTATACTTACACATGGGAAGAATTCCTTAGATGTTGTCTAGAAGATGACTGGAACCAACCAAAAGAATAATGCTATTATTATTATTATTATTATTATTATTATTATTAAGTTGTTAAATTCTTGAGGGTGTTTGACTGTTGAATCCATTTCCTTCTCTTGAAAGAGATGTATTTTTCTGCTTGAGGAGGGGAAAGAGGAGTTAACTGTGACAGATGGGGGTTTCCCTGGAATATTACTTTCGCCCCCACCCTAGCTGAGAGTTTGACATTCTATCCTGGGATAAGTGAACACAGTTTCTGTCATCAGTTCTCCTGGCCCCAGGGAGGTTCGTTAATTTGAAGGTTAACTTTGAGATCACCTTGGTTGGGACCACGGGGGGAATGCCTGAATCACCCACAGGCAGACCCAGCATACTTGGCCATCTCTCGGGGCACGTCAGTCTGAGATTCTCTGCACTAAGAAGGAGTGCAGAGGAACATACAGATTTTGCTCCAGATGAAGTCAGCCCAACATAGAAGGATGATGAAAATATATTTAAAAAAGTTATTACAGAAAAAGACACATTGCCTCTAAGCTATCTCAACTCTCCCCCCACCCCTTTGATCACACTCATTCCATTTCTTTTGCTACTTTCTGAGGCAGTGCTGGACATTTTCCTTTGTGTATGTCTTTTATGAGGAATGATCAAAATTAGAGTGAATGCCCTTGCCAAGTGTTATCCAGCAGAAAGCCTTGTAAAAACATGATGTGTCCTCATCCACCTTATTCACCAGATCTGGTGCTATGAGGCTTCTGGCTCTTTCTCAACATCGGAATGTCAATAAAAGGGAATTATTTTGAATTGATTCAGGATACAGAGACACTCATAGAGCACAATGAAATACACTTAGGAAAGAGGATTTCCAGAACTGTTTCAGAAAGTGGCAAGGCCAATGGGATGAGCATGTTCAAAGAGAAGGGATTAGTGGCATGTGTTTTGTTTTTACTGTAATAAAATTTTCAGTATAAACATTCACCATATTTTTTTTATCCCCTGTCATACTAAAAATAGGGTAAAAAAATAGTAATGATGACCAGTGCTTACCCTGCATTTAACCTTTGCTATAGGGGGATTAACTGGTTTGTAGATTTAAAATAACCTGGACATGAAATGTGGTAGAGAGTCAAAAGTATAAGTTTAAATTTGTCCATATAAAGTAT